TCCCCCAAAGCCCCAGTAGATAGTTGCATGTCATAGCTGCACAGCCTTCTAGTTGATGCATGTGGGACGCGGCCTCAGCATGGCCAGAGAAGCGGTGCGTTGGTGCGCGTCCGGGATCCGAACCCGGGCCACCAGCAGCGGAGGACGCGCACTTAACCGCTAAGCCACGGAGCCGGCCCGAGTTGATGCTTTCTTGCTAGAACCCATGATCGTCTCCTCTTCCATTAGGGGACTCTTGCCTTCTTTGTTTCATACAGTTTTGAAGAGATTCTAATAAATAAAACCTCATAAAAGGCTAAAATTATGGAAGAAAGAATGTTTAGTTTAGAAAGATTTAACAGGTAGTTTTACCTAACTATAAAAATATGAAAATACATAGGTACCCTAATACTTGTTATTACTGGAATGCATGTTGCTCAGAGACATATGGGCAAATTATGTGTATATATGTATAATACAAGTAATAATATAGGTTAAAAGTAATAATACAGGTTAGTAATAGTATAGGTTAAAAGCAATATATATACACACACACGTATGTGTGTGTGTTTATGTGTGTGTATTTTATTTTCTATGGGTAGAGTTTGTGAGGGGACAGTACAAGAGAGGGGAGATAAGAGACTTTGTAAATCACATTTTAGCACTATCGACTTGAAAGGGTCCTCAAGGTTATTTATTCTCATTTTAACAATGCTTCTAAGAATGGTATATTGGAAAATCAGTGGATTAATGAGTCTGAAGACTTGAGTTTTTGTTTGATTGGTTATATGGTCAAATTTAGCTCCTTGACTGTGAGCATGTCACAACCATTCTGAGCCTCAAATTTTCCTTTGTAAAATGAGGTACTTGGACTAGGTTAACTCTGAAGTCCTTTTCAGTTATATAAATGTATGGTTCCTCAAGGAACAAATGGGACAAATAGAAAACAAATAGCTAGAAGGAGATTTAAACCCAACTATGTTGATATTACCTTAAATGTAAATGGTTTATACATTCTAATTAGAAGGAAGAGATTGTCAGATTTCCACCAGAAACCTACTTTAAATTGAAAGTCATAGATAGGTTAAAAGTAAAAGATGGAAAAAGATATAGCATGCAAAGAATAATCAAAAGAATGTTGGAGTGACCATATTAATATAAACAAAGATTTCAGAGCAAGGAATATTTCTGGGGATAAAGAGGAACATTGCATAATGATAAAGGAGTTAATTCATTAAGAGGACATAATTTGAAATGTACAGACACCTAATAACACAGCTTCAAAATACAGGAAGCAAAAATTAATGAAACCGAAAGGAGAAATAGACATACAGAACTGTAATTAGAGATCTCAACACCCTTCTCAATAATTGATAGAAGAACTAGAAAGAATATCAGCAAAGATATGTAACACTTGAAAAACAGTGTCAACCAACTTGACCTAATTAATGTTTATGAAGCACTTTACTCAACAACAGCAAAACATTTACCAAGATAGACCATTTTCTGGGCCGTTAAACAAGTCTTACCAAATTTAAAAGAATTGAAATTATTCAAAGTGTGTTCTCTGACCATAATGGAATCAAATCAGAAATCAGTAATGCAGGGCCGGCCCCGTGGCTTAGTGGTTAGGTGTGCACGCTCCGCTGCTGGTGGCCCAGGTTCGGATCCTGGGCGCACACCGATGCACCACTTGTCCGGCCATGCTGAGGCCGCATCCCACATACAGCAGCTAGAAGGATGTGCAGCTCTGACATACAACTATCTACTGGGGCTTTGGGGGGGAAAAATAAATTTAAAAAAATTAAAAAAAAAAAGAAATCAGTAATGCAGAGATGTCTGGAAAATTCTTGAATATTTGAAAATTAAACAACACACTTCTAAATAACCCACAGGTCAAAGAAGAAAGGCAAAATAGAAAATATTTTTAACTAAGTGGAAATGTAAGATGTAATTTGTGGAATGAAGCTAAAGCAGTGCTCAGATGGAAATATATAGCTTTAAATGCTTATATTAGGAAAAAAGAAGAGTTTTGAGAAAATAGACAATAGGAGAATTCAGTGAAACCAAAGCTGGTTCTTTTTTTGTTTGTTTGTTTTTTGCTGAGAAAGATTAGCCCTGAGCTAACATCTGTGCCAATCTTCCTCTACTTTTTATGTGGGTCGCCACCACAGTGTAGCCGACGAGTGGTGTAGGTCCGCGCCTGGGCTCCAAACTTGAGAACCTGGGCTGCCAAAGCGGAATGTGCCAAACTTAACCACTCGGCCATGGAGCCAGCCCCCACCCCCTCTTTTTTTTTTTTTTGATGAGGAAGATTGTCCCTGAGCTAACATCTGTGGGACTCTTCCTCTGTTTTGCATAGGAGATGCCACCACAGCGTGGTTTGCTGAACGGTGTGTAGGTCCGCACTCTGTAGATCCAAACCTGGGAATCCTGGGACGCCAAAGTGGAGCTTGCGACCTTAGCCACTACACCACTGGGCTGGCCCCCCAAAGCTGGTTCTTTGAGAAAGTGAATCAAATTTATAAATCTCTAACCAGACTGGTCAGGATGAAAAGAAAGAAGACACAAATTACCAGTAGGAGGACTGAGAGAGTGTACGTCCCTACACAACCTGTGGACATTAAAAGAATAATAAGAAAATATTAAGAACAACTTTATGTCAGTAAAGTCAACAACTTAGATACAATGGACAAATTCTTTGAAAGACATAAATGTATGGTTCTTTGATTTCACGTTGATTATAATACATTGCTGTCCTTCATTTTGGCAGCATGAACCTGAAATTCTTATTTGGAATTTCTTAGAATTTTTTACACTAGAGGGTTAAATAATCTCATCCTGCCTTTCCCTGTATGCTTACAACCTCTAACAATCATTATCTAGAATTAGATTTCTTATATACAGGCATGGAAGATACTACCTTAAAGACATTCTAGATGAAATGTTATTAAATATCATTTAATACATTAAAGGCAGCAGCTAATCCAATTTCAGTATTTCTTTGAATCTGATACTAAATTTCTATGTGAGGTGGTTGGCAAGGGGTTAGCTTAGTGGCAGGGGAAGATGGTATATTGATTAAGAGCATATGTTCTGGAAGCAGAAGCTTTGAATTGAGTCGCTTGCTATGTTTGTGACTGTGGCTGAGATTTGTAACTCCTGAACAGCAGTTTCCCCATATGTAAAATGGGGATAATAATAGTACCTACCTCACAGATTTGTTGTGAAGATTAAAAGTAATAATACATTTAAAACTCTTAACATAATGCCTGAAATATATTAAGCACTTAGATGTTAACTGGTGACATTTAATTTTTATTTTATTTTTGAACCAAGAATATAATAGAACCTTACAGTAGATTAGAAGAAAAAACGGAGTGATACACAGAAATGGTGAATAAGGCTATCTAAAAAGAAGATGATAAACAAAAAGAGCAAAATTATATTGTAGATTTTGCCAGGAAAGAAAATTAGTTGGAAAGAGAAGAAAATAAAATTGTGTGGAGGGAAAGGAGGGGGGGATCCTTTTAAGGTATAGTGGGATGCCCAGAGTGGTAAGTAAAGGATTTAGAGACTTGCAGAAGAGGAATTCAGCCTCTCTCTATTTTTTTTCCAGTTTCTCTCATTTTTTTCAATTTTAACACTATTTTCTTTTCTTTTCTTTTTTTTAATAATTTTTTATTTATTTATTTTTTCCCCCAAAGCCCCAGTAGATAGTTGTATGTCATAGTTGCACATCCTTCTAGTTGCTGTATGTGGGACGCGGCCTCAGCATGGCCAGAGAAGCGGTGTGTCGGTGCGCGCCCGGGATCCGAACCCAGGCCACCAGCAGCGGAGCGCATGCACTTAACCACTAAGCCACGGGGCTGGCCCCTAACACTATTTTCAAAGATAAATTTAGACTTAGAGAAGTGTTGCAAACGAGTACGTAGAAAGACTCCAGCCCGGTGGCGTAGTAGTTAATTTCCTGCACTCCGCTTCTGCAGCCTGGGGTTTGCAGGTTTGGATCCTGGGCTCGGACCTACACACCGCTCATCAAGCCATGCTGCAGCAGCGTCCCATATACAAAATAGAGGAAGAGTGACACAGATGTTAGCTCAGGGCCAATCTTCCTCACCAAGAAAAAAGTACAGAGAGTTCCTGTATGTCAGCTTCTCTTTATGTTAATGTCTTACATAACAGTGGAACATTTATCAAACCTAAATAGTACCTTGATATGGTACTGTTAACTAAAGTACAGAACTTATTTTGGTTTCACCTGTTTTTCCACTGATACCATTTTTCTGTTCCAGGATCCAGTCACGTGTCCACATTACATTTAGTTGTTGTATCTCCTCAGTCTCCTGCAATCTGTGACAGTTCCTGTCTTTCCTTGTCTTTCGTGGCCTTGACTTCTTCTGAAGGAAGGGTTCTTCTTCTTTTTTTAAAAAAATTTTATTTGTGTGTGTGTGTGTGTGTGTGTGTGTGTGAGGAGGATCAGCCCTGAGCTAACATCTGTAGCCAATCCTCCTCTTTTTGCTGAGGAAGACTGGCCCTGGGCTAACATCTGTGCCCATCTTCCTGTACTTGATGTGGGACGCCGCCACAGCATGGCTTGACAAGCGGTGCATTGGTGTGTGCCCAGAATCTGAACCTGCAAACCCCTGGCCGCTGAAGCAGAGCCCACGTACTTAACCGCTACGCCAAGAGTTATTCTTCTAAGGAAGAGTTATTGCTTCTCCCCTATTTGTTTATATCAATATAGGTTCATGAATATTTTATTATCTGGGTCCAACACGACTGCTTTTTATATCATTGCTCACGTTGTTCTAGTTTCGGCCACTGGGAGATCTTTCAGGTGGGCTCCTGTGCCCTTTAAATATGTGCCCACCCATCGTTTTCTTTTTTTCTAAAGCACTTTCTTACTTTCTGTCATAAAAAGCTGCTCCAGGCTCTCTTTTCCGTAGCCTAGCCTTGGGGTCAACCAGTTCTCCATTGAACCCTGGTTCCTTTTATTGGAGGCTGGTATTTAGAAACCAGTGTCTGGTATGTTTATTGCTACAGGGATGTCACGGCTTTTTCCCCCTCAGTTGACAGAGCTAGAAAAATATATGCAAGTGTACTAACTCATGCATGCACGCGTGTGTTTGTGTGTGTGTGTGTGTGTGTGTATACATATGTATAAATTTTAAAACCATCAGTCCGTATTGGTACCTCCAACTCTACTTCTCTTCATTTATATTCTATACATTTTTAACTTGGTAGCTTTTTTATCTTAATAATAAAAACTTTACACACAATAAACATTTCAGACAGACAACTGCAGTTACAAGTTTCTTAAGTATCCCACTAAGAACACTCTGTAATAAATAGGCATCTGTATGACTATATATCTTCTCTCTTCCTTTTATTCTCATGGGAGCATGCTGATACTTCCTGAGCCTTACTTTTTTTGGTCTAATTGGATATTTTGAGGGCATTGTTGATAGAGAAAAACCTATTTCTGAGTTCACATCTTATGGATTGAAGGGCCCCATGAGATGTGGACAAGTAGGAATTGGGGAAGAAATAAAAACCTGAGAGCTTCTCAGACTTTTCTTGTTGCCTTAGCAGAAACCTATGTTTACCTGTTAAAATAAAGCTTGTTCAGGGATTTTAAGTGAGGCATGTACTCCATGTCACTGGGGAAAACGTTAACAAGTGGGATTCTCATTGGACTTTGGATTTGGTTAGGAGTGAGAGGAAGAATGCACTGTTTTCACAGACATTACTGCCTCAGCTGCCTTCTCCACCCAGCACATTTTCCATGAATAAAGTAGTACATCATACCAAAACTCATATGGAATTCCATCAAACCAATGGAACTGAAAGCCTGTAAAGACTATCTGATATATCAGATTTTAGGTGTAAATAAAAACCTGTTGCTATATATGTAAATAATAAGTCAATCACAGGACTGAAGAAATTGAATTAAAAGGTTAGAATTTTGCATCTACTTCTAAGTTAATTTTGAAAAAAAATGATCGTTGATACTTTTTTCTTCTTGAAATTGATAGCGTTGCTGTTGTCTTTCCTTAATATGATGTAATTATAATTAATGATTTTAGCATTTTGTAATTTGTGTAAGTAAAACTTTCCCCCTAGCTTCTTACCTTCCTATGCTTGTGGTTTTGCAGGGTTGCCTGATTCTGAGTGATGAGCTGAACCATGCATCACTGGTTCTAGGAGCCAGACTCTCAGGAGCAACCATTCGAATCTTCAAACACAACAGTGAGTTTCTCATGGAATTTGCATCTGGCCTTAGTGTTTAATATTCAGCAGTGGTAACATTGGTTACATTAATAATAGAAAATATAAATGAAGCTGAAGTAGCAACATTTAAAATGTCCTTCTGGTTCAGTCTTTTAAAAGTTACTCTCTTCCTCGCTGGAATAAAAAGAGGCTGAAGGAAGCCTTTGGTGCAAAATATAATGTTCTCCTTTTTTTGTGTGAGGAAGATTAGCCCCAAGCTAACGTCTGTTGCCTGTCCTCCTCTTTTTGCTGAGGAAGATTGGCCCTGGGCTAACATCCATGCCCGTCTTCCTCTACTTTATATGGGATGCCGTCACAGCATGGGTCGAAAAGCGGTGCGTCGGTCCATGTGCGGCATCCGAACCGGCGAACCCCCGGCCACCAAAATGGAGCACGAGAACTTGACCACTACACCACCAGGCCAGCCCCTAACATTCTCCTTTTATTTGACTTTCAGCCTTTTCATCTTTTTTGTTTACAAGTCACTTGTTCAATATGCATTTACTAGATGCCTATGATACATTTACCATACTAGGAGTATTGAGATGAATAAAGGAGGATCCCTGATCTCAGGGATCTCTGACTGGTCAATCAAGAGACTATAGACAAACCAGTAGTTAGACTACAAAAGACAGATATTGAGATACTGTTATGAACAGATGCCGTAAAAGCACAGAAAAAGGTGGCACTAAGCCAAAATTTTTCTCTCTAAATGGAAATATCTGTGTGTTATTAAAATAATCATTTATAATAAAAATGCATAACTTTTGTAGTTAAAACACTCACATATAGGGAGGAAAGATAACCAAACTGTATGTTTAATATCATCTTTTACCAAAATGTGTTCATATACAGGCAAAAGTAGAATAATATAGTACACCCAAATGTTAGGTCTGTGCCTCTGGGTGGAAAGTTTATGGATGGTAATAGCTTTCTTCCTTTTGTCTTTGTCTTGTCTAAAATGTTTTGCAATGAGAATGATACAAACAGTATTTTGTTTCATGTAAATGGGATTTGTTAAACACCGTTGGGTAAACTGCTGATTTCTTACAGCCCATCGTGAACTTTGTTTGACAGTCCGTGTGACTCTCTCCTCCCCTAGTGACGGGGTGGCAGGCAGTGTCTGGAGGTGCCCTCATTCAGTCCGTCCCTCAGTTTGGACATCGAGGTTGTTTCTAAATTTTTCTTCTTAGACAGTACTATACACACTCACATTTTTGCTCAATAGTCTGGTTAGTGCCTTAGGATAAATGCCTAGCAGTCTTGTAATGCCTGGTTAAAAGAGTATAAAGTTCTTATACTTTTCCAAATTGTCTCCAAGCATTGTACACATTTTACTCAACAACATGACTGACTGTTTCTACTCACAGGCCAAAACAAAGATTTAAATCTTTCCTAATCTAATAAGTTAATAACATGTTAATTTTTATTTCTTTGATTAATAGATGTCGACCAACTTTTTATACAATTATTGTGTTTGTATTTCTTTGTAAATTGGCCATTTTCAAACTTTCTCTTTTTCCTGACTATAAGAGCCTTTTATATTAATTATTCTTTTATGTTGCAATATTTTTTTTTAACTTTGTTTTTAGTGTCTTGCTGTGCAGACTTATTAAAATGTTTATGTTGTCACACTTAATGTCTTAGGACTTTTGGATTTTGCATAATACCTTCTCCATTCTAAGATCATAAGGTTGTTCTCTTATATTTTCTTCTGGTAGTTTTGTGATATAATTTTTATTTAAATCTTTCATTTACATGGGATTTGGAGAGCATTATATGAGAGAGAGACTAAATTTTTTTTCCTAAGTAGATAATATGGTCCAGCATTCTACTATAGATATTTCCTTTTATCTAAAATTTTGTTGAATCAATACTTATTTTTCTCTTCCTTTCTGTGTATAAACAGAGAAAACTGAAACAATAAGTACGTTTTTACTTTTCTCCTGCTGGTTGCCACACCTTGCCCTCTACAGCAGGACTAGCAGCTTCCAATCAGACATGTTTACTTCTGTGGGAGCATCTCCTGTCTCTGGGTTAGGTAGCAGACAGATTGATTTGTTATAAATAACTGAAGGTGTAAACACAATCACAACCTTTGGCCATCTTATTTGTATTTGTGGTATGTGTTTTTATTACCTTATTTCTCTTTTCTACCAAAGTCCTTTTATGTAAAGAGCAAAATCATGTAAATTTGTAACTCACTCCTTCAGTGGTGAACAATAAAGAGTATAAAATCAGATTTTAGGATGGCGTGCCTCCCACCCCTGTTAAATACACCCTAGACTTAATATTGCCTAGATTTTTGGGGGATTTTCTTAAGGGCATTATTTCAGAGCAAATATTTTAAGTATGAAGTCTATAGTGGTGGTAACAGTGTCTTCAAAGCATTTATCTTTAACAGGAAAATTATGATCCTCATTAATGGTGGTACCAGCCAAGTAGTTTTCTAGGCCTGGTAACCACCTTAAGGACCAACAGAGCCACAAGAACTTGGTTGAGTATAGACAGCTGATCAAGTTAACTGTGGAACAATCTCAACTGATTGCCAAGCTTGTTTAACACATAGATTCATGCACACCTAGACCTAACCCACTACCAAGATAAAGCTGTTTGACAAGCATTTATTGCATATAATTTTCAGTAGGTGAAAGGAAATGGGGTATGCATTTTGAAGTTTTCCCCTATATTTGCTTTTTAGGGGGTATGTGTATTTGTAGTAGTTTATTCACACTCTTATTCAGTCTTCTTCATGCATTTATTTCTGAATGACTCACTAGGATTAAAGATACAATTGATTCTATAAATAGAAAAAAAGATAACTGAATGGCAAGGTATTTAACATGAAACATTAGTCATTTCATAAGCATACTGACCAACTGAATCAACTGTGCCACAGTCATTTAGTCAAGTTTCTATGGTTTTGAACATTTGTTCATGTTAGATAAGAATTTAAGTCAGGCTAGCAGAAGCTCGCCCATTTTGCCCTATCTTTTTTCTGCCCCATTCTAGTTATGTTACTGTCCTTTGCTATCTGAGACATAACTTCCTGAATAAGAAATGTGGAAATGTATATTTGCATTTCTGGAATAAACTTAGGAAAGAGAAAGGTACTTGGTGCTGAAATTCTGCTTTGTGTGCTGTAGATATGCAAAGCCTAGAGAAGCTGTTGAAAGATGCCATTGTTTATGGTCAGCCTCGGACTCGAAGGCCCTGGAAGAAAATTCTAATCCTCGTGGAGGGAATATATAGGTAATCCTGCTTTGTTATTCTTATCTTTCTGATTTGGCCCCATAAAGTCATAGAATTTTCAAGCTGAAGGGAACACTAATCTAGAGCCCTCTGGAAATAAGGAGACATGTTGATGACTTGTTACAATACCTGGAGGCGGAGTTAGCGCTACACCAGAGGTGCTCTCGTCTGGCTCTTCTTGATTCTGTCCGTCATGCTGCAGGGTCTCCAAGTCCCTTCCCTCTTCTATTTGGGTCCTTTATTTTTCTACTGTTGGTAGAGGGAATTTATACCTGGGGGCAAGAATTGGAATATGTTTTCTTTTTTTTTTTTTGTGAGGAAGATCAGCCCTGAGCTAACATCCATGCCCGTCTTTCTCTACTTTATATGGGACGCCGCCACAGCATGGCTTGACAAGTGGTGCGTCAGTGCGCGCCCGGGATCCGAACCTGCGAATCCCGGGCCGCCACAGCGGAGCACGCGCACTTAACCACTTGCACCACCGGGCCGGCCCCTAGAATATGTTTTCTACTTACACACTATTTAATTTTAAGTAATGTTTTATTTTGGTTACCTATTTATAGCCCGTTCGCTTATTCTCTTATCTCCTAATTTTTTCAATTCTTTTGTGTAATTTTAATAACATATGCAATGTGATGCAAAGTCTAATGTTGCCTATAATTACAAGCTTTAGAAGAATCTGCTGTGATCTTTATTTCTCTTTGGTGAATTAAGATCAGCTGTGTTCTGGTGCTTGTTTTAAAAAATGCAGTCTCCTTTCCCCTAGACATTTGCCTAGCCATGGCATCTTCTTACTTTGCCTGTTTAAAACCACTGGCAGAATTGTCAGAACATTTTAAAAAGCAGTAAACTTAAAAAATTAATAATCATAAAGTGGCCAACTCCTAATTTTGAGAGTTAGGAAGTCTCAGTGTATGTATTTTTTACCCTGTTTTGCCAGCATGGAGGGATCTATTGTTCGCCTCCCTGAAGTGATTGCCCTTAAGAAGAAATACAAGGCGTACTTGTATCTAGATGAAGCTCACAGCATTGGGGCTTTGGGCCCTACGGGTCGAGGTGTGGTGGATTACTTTGGCCTGGATCCTGAGGATGTGGACGTTATGATGGGAACATTCACCAAGAGCTTTGGTGCTGCTGGAGGATACATTGGAGGCAAGAAGGTAAGTGGGCTTGAGGAATTGAGCTATTTAGGATAAAGATACTGGCTACTAGATTTGGTGATTCACGTTTAGCAGATAAGATCCCAAACTGGGATGTGGATCCCAAACTGTGATGTGGAGATCCTGAATTTATTTGTGGCTTAGGCTCATAGTGCCAGCAGGCATCACTTCAGCTGCCTGGTGAGTGACTGATGAACTAAGGCTGGTTCTGTTCATTGTTTGTTGTTTTCTTCTTTGAGCTTCGTTCTAAACTCCATGCTGGTCTGAGACACAGAGTACCCCCTTGTGTGAAAGAACACACAGTGGTGCTGCCTGTTTGCCACAGTCTTCTGTTGGATTTGAGTTGTGCTCACAATTTCAAAAGTAGTGGGGTTGTTGTAGGAGCCAGTGGGAACAGACGACCAGCAGTTCCCTGCCCTTGAACTCAAAGACATCTTGGGTGAGCCTAGAGACAGGAAAAAAAAGGATTATTTTGCTAGCTCTGGTGTACGATGAGGCATTGTATTTTTCAGTTTAAAAATTATATAGTGAACTCTGAGGCATTTGAGAATCAGTGTGGCATGGTGGAAATGGATAAGCCATGGAGACAGAGGCCAGGGTTTGAATATTTCCTTGCTAACTTTTGAGACTGTGGACAAAGCATTTAACCTTTCAACTTCCTTAACAGTGAAACAGAGAGAAATATGCGTAGCTTATAAGATTGTAGTCAAGTTTTAAAAAATAATGTATGTCTATGCTACAACATGGATGAACCTTGAAGGCATTATGTTAAGTTAAAGAAGTCAGTCACAAAAGGTCACATATTGTATTATTTCTTTTATACGACATATCCAGAATAGGCAAATTGTAGAGACAGAAAGTAGCTTGGTGGTTGCCAGGGGCTGAGGGGATAGGGGAAGTGGAAAGTGACTGCTAATGGGTATGAAGTTTCTTTTTGAGGTAATGAAAATGTTCTAAAATTAGATAGTGATAAAAGTTGCACAGCTCTGTGAATATACTAAAAGCCACTGAATTGTACACTTTTAAAAAGTGAATACTACAGTATGTGAATTATATCTCAATAAAACTGTTGATTTAAGAACTCTCTGCAGTGTTAGAAAAAAACAATGTATGTCAAGCATTTGTACGTGGCATGTGATAGATGCTCATAAATGTCCTTAATTCCCCTTTAACACCTGACATTGGGAGTCTGAAAGCCATGGACATTCTTTTATTAATGGATTGCCTTTTAGAGAAAACCCGTTGTCAGTGGTTTTAGTCAAGTTTGGTAGATTTTTTTGTGTGTGTGTGAGGAAGATCAGCCCTGAGCTAACATCCATGCTAATCCTCCTCTTTTTGCTGAGGAAGACCAGCTCTGAGCTAACATCTATTGCCAATCCTCCTCCTTTTTTTTTTTTCCTTCCCCAAAGCCCCAGTAAGATAGTTGTATGTCATAGTTGCACATTCTTCTAGTTGCTGTATGTGGGACGCGGCCTCAGCATGGCCGGAGAAGCGGTGCGTCGGTGTGTGCCCGGGATCCGAACCCGGGCCGTCAGTAGCAGAGCACGTGCACTTAACCGCTAAACCACGGGGCCGGCCGAGTTTGGTAGATTTTTGTCTTAAATTTTTGTTAATGGGACCAGGTTCACTTTGGAGAGTTGATTGCTTATTGGTAAGATTGTCGCTAAACCAAAGGATAGAAAAATAATACTGTGGGAGATCATTTAGGTATAGAATATTTTTATGCTTTTGTGGTTTTTTAGTATTTTTGAAGTGATAACGTTGTTTTATAGCCACGTTTTGTGTCTCCTTACTGGTTCTGGTACAAAAGCTTTTGTGTGCATATTGTGTTTAAAGGTTTAGTGAAGTTAAAAGGTATCAGAGAATAGCAATGTACAACTGATTGTTTTGAAATCCTTTTAACTGACAGAGAAGGTTTTTCTTATATTCATTGAGATGACTTTAGTGTTCTCATGAAAGACCCTGTGAATTTCTGCCACATTTATATCATTTTATAAATCTCTGTGTATCTGGAGGATATTGAGTGTCTTTAAAATTGATGTTAGAGAACTTTCTCTTATGTAGGGATGGGCTTTGCAGGCGTAGGGTAAGATGCAGATGCTGTTTTCTGTAATACTTAGAAGTAAATCATGTATCTGAAAGCAATTCAAACACTCTTGTTTAATTCACCATTGTAGATCTATTTATAACATTAAATGATATGTTCTCCAAATTTAGAGGGCTTCTTTAAAGCTAGTTTTTCTTTCTCCCACGTTGTGGTGTGTTTAGAAAACAAAACAAAGCCTAAGGACATTGCTGTGTGTGTGACCCAGGTGCTGACAGGCTTTGACTGTGCTGGTTGACCTGATTAGTGACCCTGCTCCAGTGTTATTGAAGGGAGGAGCAGTCCACTCACACCTGGAAGGAAGGCAGTGACATTGCCAGTGAATTCCAGCATTGCTCTAATGACTTCTTCTGTGAACTCCCCAGGAGCTGATAGACTATCTGCGAACACATTCTCATAGTGCCGTGTACGCCACGTCACTGTCACCACCTGTGGTGGAGCAAATTGTCACCTCTATGAAGTGCATCATGGGGCAGGATGGCACCACTCTTGGTAAGTCTTTCTTTTCTTGGAAAATTTCCTGAGCTCAATAAATATTTAGCAACTAAACATGGTCTTTTTCTTGAGCTTTTTTCCTAAAATGAGGAATCAGATGTACTAACGGGCAGAGCTGGCAGGCGTGTGAGGCCTTGTTGTCTTTCTTTTTTTTGTGAGGAAGATCAGCCCTGAGCTAACATCCACGCCAATCCTCCTCTTTTTTTTGCTGAGGAAGACTGGCCCTGGGCTAACATCTGTGCTCATCTTCCTCCACTTTATATGGGACGCCGCCACAGCATGGCCTGACAAGCGGTGCATTGGTGCATGCCTGGGATCCGAACTTGGGCCGCCAGCAGCAGAGCTCGCGCACTTAACCGCTATGCCACGGGGCCAGCCCGGCCTTGTTTTCTATGAACACTTTTTGGTGGGTTTGATACACATGCCAACAGAACAAGCCTGGCTCGCTCCCTGTTGCATTTTCTTGTCTACAGATGGTGAGGCTTTAAGCTGACCATTCTATCTGTCCTCAGAAGTCTTTAGGTGATAAGCCTTCAGGATCTTTATTGAATTGCACAATTTTATGTGAAGATGTTAATTCACTGTGTAGTGATGTTTCATTCCCATAGTATTTAAAAGCTCTTTCCGTGAGTTAGTGTCTTTGATTTAATCCCTTTTAAAAGAGTTTCTAATTTAACATACAGAAGATAATAAAGGTCATCCTGAATCTGTTTGTTCTGTCTTTGGTGGGATTTGTAGTGGAAACTAGATGCCCTGACTTAGGCATACTAAAATGAGCAATAAAATGTGATGTTCACTTGCTGATATTTGACGCTAGAGGGCAGTGTTGAATGCAAGAGTTATAATAAAAGGGGAGCAATTGAATTTTTTTGTTTTTTCACTTTTAAAAGTATTTCCATTATGAGTATGAGATATACGTAATTTTACTTGTTGCTTTTTTAATGCTTCTAAAATCAGTTTTACTCCTGTAAAAGATTTTACTCTATCAGCCTTCAGCTCTCCACTCTTCAGTTATATAATATTTTGTGGTAAGATTGATTTGGTTTGTGTTGAAAAACAAGAAAGAAGTGGTATGTCTGATTTTTACTGATTTAAGCCTGTTTTCTTGAATCAGAATTTTACCTTAACATTTTTTCTGATGTGTGATATATCCTTGTTATCTCTAGAGAGAGGTTTTTGGAGATAGATTTTGAAAGTGTTGATCATCTTCAATTTCATAAATTGATGGCTTGGGGAAGGAAATATTTAATTAATGTTGTGAACACAGCATGGAGCCTTGTGAGTAGCTGCCTGTTAACAGTAGCTACAATGTTCTCTTCTTCCTATATGGTGTTATTAGAAATAGTATCTGATATATATATATACACACACATACATATATATATAGCTAGCACTTATCTAGTTACTTCACATGGATGCATCAACATTATTGATTCAGCACTCAGATTTAGGTAACTAAAGAATGAATGGCTAAGAGCTATCAGAGTTAACTCTGAATAGTTTCTTCACCCTATCCTAGAGCATGGATCTATGTGACCTCTGGATAAATGACTTATCTGTACTAAATGGTGAAATCTAGGCTCTGCTGGTAGTGAGAAAATGAAGTACGGTAATTAGATATAGGCTTTGGGTTAGCACTCGTTTTCCAGTTTATCTGTTGCCTCTCTCACCACCCCCTCAGCTTAGTGGTGTCAAACAACAGCCATCTTATCATGCTCACAGATTCTGCGGGTCACAGATTCGGTCAGGGCACAGCAGGGATGGCTGTCTTGGCTCCACAGTATCTGGGGCTTGAGCTTGGAAGACCCAAGCGGCTGGGGAAGACTCAGATGGCTGGAGGCTGAGATCATCTACAGGCTTCTTCACTCACATGTCGCCTGGGCCAGAGTGATTTGGAGGCTGGGCTCAGCTGAGACTGTTGACCAGAGCCCCTTCACGTGTCCTCCCCATGTGGCATGGGCTCCTCAGAGCATGGTGACTGGGTGTAAAGAGAGCATGCTTCAGAGAGCACATGTGCCCGAAGAACCTGCTGAAAGCTCCACACCTTTTCTGATCTGTCGTTAACAAGCGGGTCAGAAGGCCAGCCCAGGCAGGCTTCAGGGCGTAGGAAATTAAGACGCCACCTCAAACGGGAGGCGGGTCGGAGAATTTGTGGCCGTTTTTACAACTTGCCACTACCATCTTTTAAATAATATATTTTAAAAATTACTCCCTAAAACTTAATTAGTATGATAAACTTATGTTGGCTACGTTGTTTCTCTGCCAAAATAGAGGATAATAAAAAAAACTAACCATCAGTAGAGATAAATACCAAAACCTGCTACCTGATCTTAATTAAATTTGGCTTGGTTTCTTTTAGATTTGAGTGTGTTAAGGTAATGCTTATTTTTATGGCATCGAGTGCATCTTGTTATTGTTTTTGTAGAAAAAAAGATGTGAAGCACGCAGCGGCTTTTTGACTGTGCCTCAAGGTGACCTTTAAAAAGAGCTGTCTGCAGGGCTGGCCCGGTGGCGTAGTGGTTAAGTTTGCGCGTTCCGCTTTGGCGGCCCGGGGTTCGCAAGTTCGGATCCTGGGCGGCACGGACCTGCACACTGCTCGTGAAGCCATGCTGTGGCAGCGTCCCATATACAAAATAGAGGAAGACTGGCACAGGTGTTAGCTCAGTGACAATCTTCCTCAAGAAAAAAGGGGGATGGGCAACAGACATTAGCTCAGGGCCAATCTTCCTCACCAAAAAAAAACAGGTATCTGCAACTAATTACCTGATTGTTATTTTATAATAGAAATGGCCTGCCTTAAGAGAAACTTAATCTCTTACGTTGAGGACATTGAATTTCATTAATTCCACAAACATTGAGTATCTCACTATGCATTAGACCCTATGAATCAGAATCCACGGGAAGTGGACATACAAGCAGATCATTTGAGTGAAGTATATACTTGGGAGGTATTGGGGATGCATAGGATAGTGGGTTGTTGTATTAGTCACAGAGAGTACTGAAGCACAGAAGAATTAAAGTTTTATTAATTATTCACCAAATACCTGAGTGCCCGCTGTGTGTGCACTAGGTGCTGTTTCTAGGTACTTGTGATTTGTCAAAGAAGAAAACACCCCCAAATTCCTGCCTTATGGGCTTTCTAGTGAGGGATATAAATTATACAGTGTGCTAGGAAATGGTAAGCACTCCAGGAAAAAGATAAGCAGGGAAGGTGAGGGCCCAGGAGTTCTGGGGACCCAGTTTGTAATTTTAAATAGGGTAGTCATTGAGAAGGTAAGATTTTAGCGAGGACTTGAAGGAAGTGAGGAGATAGCCCTGAAAATCCAGGGACAGAAGGCCCTGAGATGGAGGTGACTCTGTGTTCAGGAAGAGCAAGTAGGCCACAGTGGCCTGAGCATCTTAGGACGGGGAGAGTGAGTGAGGTGTGAGGGTAGAGGTTGTGCCGAGGGTGGAAGTTCTGACAGGAAGCAGTCTTGTCTTGTGAGGGTGTTCGGTTGACAGGAAAACACGTGCACACTGTTCTTTTGCCCGGGCTAGTATCAAATTCAAATTCCTGAATAGTTTCTGTGGGCTGCTCAGTATTGGCAGGCTTGTGGCCTGTTTCAAATAGGTTAAGAATTTTATTGATCCTTTAGATTTCATGAAAAGGTATGGAAAATAATGTGCCCATGATCCCATATTTTAATAATGTTAATATTTCACCCTATTTATCTCACTTTTTTTGAAAAAAAGATAGCTAAAACTTCTTTAGTGTCCTTTCCTGATTCTGTTTCTCTCACGCTTTCCCCAGAGATAATGACTATTCCGAAATTGTATCCTTCTATACTTTTATGCTTTTACTGCAAATATATTCATAAATAGTGTATAAGTATCCCCCGCTGTTTGAAGGCTGAACGTCTATTTGTATAATGACTTGCAGAAATGCTTATGAGATTTAACTGTCTGAATGAAAACTCGCTGTAATACATCCTCATGTGCACACCACTGAAGATGCGTTCAGCTGCATGTGAGTCTGGGGAAGAGGCTGTAGAGTACACTTCCATCATGTTGCAGCTCTTTTCCTGATTGTACTGTGTCTCCTGTCCCCTGAGTTGTTTAAATGTGCAATGTCTCAGTCATCTTCCCCATATCACTAATGCAAATGTCCTGTGACATGTGGAAAAGCCTCTGAAGAAAGTAGGTGAGCCTAAGAGGCCCAGAAAGTCCCTGCATTTGAAGGAAATGTAGGAGTGCTAATGCTTATTGAGACAAAAAATGCGAAAGTGGGAAATACGATGGGTTTCATACTGTGCGGTGTCACTGAGCACTGCATGCAAGTGTGCCCAAATTTCTTAAGGGTTAAAATAGAAAATTTGTATTTTAGATGCTTCATTTTTTACAGAAATTTTTGGTAGATTATTATGTGGATATTTTTTTAGTAGCTTAGGGGAAAACTGGACTTTGGATGAGCCAAGAACATGTATTTTTTTCCCATTTTTAATCATGTAATATAGACTCTACCTCCTGAAAATTCACACTCTGACACTCTTTTAGGAGCAGACTGGATTCCAGTAATGAGGACTGTCTATATTGTTTTGTGGTGTTTTTTTTTTTTTTGTGAGGAAGATCGGCCCTGAGCTAACATCTGCCAATCCTCCTCTTTTTGCTGAGGAAGACTGTCCCTGGGCTAACATCCATGCCCATCTTCCGCCACTTTATATGATATGGGACACCGCCACAACATGGCTTGCCAAGTGGTGCATCGGTGCGCGCCTGGGATCCGAACCAGCGAACCCTGGGCCGCTGCAGTGGAGCAGGCGCACTCAACCACTTGCGCCACCGGGCCGGCCCCTTGTTTTGTGTTTTTAAATGTTACATAAATTGGTCATATTATGGGAATCTTTCTACAACCTGCTTTATTTGCTTAATATTATTTGTTTGAGTTAACCTTGTTGAGTGTGAGGTTCTCATTTATTCCTTTTCACTGTTGTATAGTACTCCACACCGTATTACCACAG